TAATATCAGTTATTATTCATATGCTGGTGTTCGTCTGATACACACTGCTGAGGAAGGAGCTACAACAGACTCTGAGTCATTTGCTGTATCTAGTTCTGGCCTGTATCTGGCTATATGGGACCAAGGATCTTGTACTGTTATTAATCGGATTGTTGTATTCTACAATGTCTGTCCTTATCAAGTATTGAATAAAGCTGTCTATCCAGAGACAGTAGCTCCTCAAGGGGGTTTTGATCCAGATAAAAATGTGAATGCTACTTGTATTGATAATGCTAGTCCTACATCATCAAATATTTTAAGTTTAAGGTGTAGGTTATTAGGAGTGTGGATTGGATCAGCTTCATGTCAATGTAATGCTGGATATGAGGCTAATGATACAATTTGTCAAGGTACAATTTTTTTATTCATGCTAGTTGTAAATGTTATAGCTAAGCCCACATGTTGCTATTTGTGGCTACTTTGATCTTTAAAATTCATTTACTTCTTGTCACAGCCACACACATTCAATGTCACTGTAATCATTAATTTTGTCCACTATAGCTTGTGAAGAAGGCACCTACAAGCCATTTGCAGGAGACAGTGATTGCAATGGTTGTCCTAATAACAGCTACTCAGCTAGTCCTGGTGCTGTGTCCTGCCAGTGTCTGTCTGGCTATTATAGAGCACCTCATGAAGATATCACTGTGAGGTGCACTGGTAAGTTTGATATGATTTATAATCAACATGCAACAAAATAATTTAAAATTTAGCTCCTCCTAGCTCACCTCAGAACTTAACAAATACTTCAGTTACAAAGACTAATATTAGCATTGCTTGGCTTGAGCCTACTTATAATGGAGGCAGAACTGATCTTTATTATGTCATCAGCATTAAAAGCTCAACCAATGTCATTGAATATAGTACAGGACATACAAACTACACACTAATGGGATTAACTCCATTCACAACATATGAAATACAAGTGATTGCAAGAAATGGAGTGTCAGATCAAGACAATGCTAATGATAACAATAGAACTGTTACTATAACTGTCACTACTCTCAATTCTAGTAGGTGTAAATCAGTTGTTATTGTACATAAACATGCCCCTTTTCTTCTTTTATCCTTATGACCTGTGTTTTGTCTTCTCTTGAATTATCAGTGACAAATCTACCCTCAACTGAAACTCCTCAGTTACTATCACTAACACTAATGATTGGAGCTCCTGTTGTATTGGTGCTAGTACTCTGTGTTTGTATTATCATAGTATTTGTGATTGTGATAATTGTTAGGAGGAACAGAAAGAAGAGACTTGTAAATTTGGACTTGAGTTTTGTTGGTTAGTGAAGTTAATAATTTAGTTTAATATTTTTATCTAAACAATTTGTCCCCTTTAGACGACTCCAG